ATTCGCTACTGACTGCTTTCTTTTGCTTCTGTTGCTGGGTGGTTGCTCGGTGAAAGACTCCTTGCTGGTAGTAGGAAACGTGACTAGTATGTTCATACCTACATAGCATGGATTACCTAGCTAATCAATTTTGGTCGTAGGCTTACCAAAAGTTTGTCTGTGTATGTATATGTTGTGCTTATATGATACAGTGCTAGATATAGTTTCTCCTACTATCTTGGAGCTAAGGATTGAACTTCACAAGCATCAGTACTTAAATATTTATATATAGTCATCTGTTCCTGGCACCGTTTTTCATTTTCTCTCTTTGCTGTTTAAATGTTTCTGGAAGGTTGGATTTATTAGTTTGCAATATGTGCACAGGTAACAAAACTGAAATTCTTCTACATGCTTTTTTCGGGTTCTAGGTTTATCACACAGATAGGATGTGTTTCGAAAACCATGGGAATTGTAAGAGGGGGGGAAGGAGGGGCGGTAAAACATGCTTGCAATGTAATTACATGGATGTATCTTTGTTTAGGTGCTTGACGGATTATTGTTGCAAAATCTATGTTGCTCGTCTCTGCAAAACTCGTCAGTACATCGATTCTAGTTATCAAATTCTATAGAGGGTTGGAACTAGGAACCCGAGTTTAGGCAGAGTGGTGAACGAACACCACCCTTTCCTAGTCTTTTAGGACACTTTCCCTCCAATTCTGCCTTAGCAGTAAACAGAAACATCTGCATTGCCTTGCTTATTTACGAAGGGACTTTGATCATTTCAAAGATGCTTTTTACATTATTTTGACGGTCTCTGTTGCTCGAACTAGTTATTGGAACGTGCATGGGTTGGGAGTATTGCAGGGCAAGCAATTGTGGTTTCTGTACTTCTATTCCAAGCCTCCAAGAGATGATGATGAACGTCCATGGCCGGGGTGGGAATTTTTAAAGTGGATGGATTCGGTATCGCCCCTTCAGTGCGTAGTTGGCTGGGCATCTGATTCTTCGAATCTCATTTGAAGATAACGAGCATTTGTTAAACTTCTGAACACTTAAATCACGCATAGAATAAAGGGTTCAAAAAAAAAAAGAAAAGAAAGTTGTCCATCTTGACCGCTGTGTACTTGACTGACTGTAAAGAACTATTTATTATTACCCAGAAAAAAGAAATGTGGGGAACAGAACTTATGCTTCAGCTTAGTCTCCTCTTGCGACTTCTACAACATGAGTTCTTACAATTTGGTGTCTCGCGGCTAAACAGTGTTTTCAAGTTTACATCTTGTAAACAGTCAAATTGCCCTGAATAATTAATTTACGCAAGGGCGGAACAGCTTTGAGTTCTACAACATCTACTGTACAATAATTAATTTTTTTTTTTTGGGTAAGAAAGAGTTTAGCTCCTTATATTTGCAATTAGATCCATAATTTGCATGCATGAAAATCTTGTCATATCCACCCTTCACTTTCCCTTAAAAGGACCTTTGTCCCTCCTAAATCTTGAACCAGGTCTTTTAAGGAATATCTTATTCCTCTAGTCAAATGGCGGGTTACCATTGTAATTCGTAGCAGTAGTGTTAGTTAAATCATAAATGTCACCGCAAGACGAAACCAAAGTTTAACCTCCCGAGTTCCTGCAAACTGTGAAAGAGTTCCATTACATCTACTGCTTACATTCTTATTGGTTTGTCAGTTGTCTTTGGTTTTTGCAGGAAGTCTCCAAAGTTGAGAACTTAGCCGGGGGTTGTCAATCTTTGAATCATACAAAAGTTGACAGTTACTGGTATGGATACTGTTACTTGTAAAACATGCCATCGAATATCATCAGTAACTAAACATGCAACCAAAATCCGATGCCATGGATGCCAAGGAACTATTTTGATTGGCAATAGTCAAGTATCGGTTCCGTTGGACAAAAGCAAATGGCCGAGCCATGATCAAGGTAACATCATCACTGAACGAAAACGGTTCCATGATTTCAGTAAGAAAGTCTCAGGTATCAGTCCAAGAAGTTCTCCCAGCTTCAGCCAATTTCCTGCTGCAAGACTATCAGATACACCACCAAGAGGGAAGCGAGCACTACTTTGTGGAGTATCTTACAATCAGAATAAGAAATTCAAGCTCAGAGGAACAACACCAGATGTAATGAACATGGCAAAACTGCTCGTTCAGCAATTTGGTTTCCCAACTAATGCTATCCTTGTCCTAGGAGGTATTGCCGGTAACAATTACTGATAAATGTTGTTGAAAGCATGCAGGGGGCATGAGATTGAACATCTGTGAGGAATTGAATTGTTTCTAATTTGAACATAGACATCAGGTTATTATATCATAGACATCAGGTTATTGTATCTTTACATTCATTTGAACCTTGTTCATCTTATTCCTGTGGCAGTTGTTACTGATTTTTCACTTGGAAATACTTTCTCAGTCTTATATATTGGTATAATTGTAACTGAGGCCTATTACACTTTCCTTAATAGTTTTCTTCCATTCCTGATGTAGTACCATATATGTTACTATTTTTACTATTTCCAATTGATGCACCTTACAAAGACACTAAACAACTTGTAGATTTTATGTCATTTGAGCCTCCAACAAGGATAAATATTATACGGGCCTTTGACTGGCTAGTGAAAGACTCGCAATCAGGGGATTCTTTGGTGTTCTCTTTCTCGGGGCATGGCACACAACAACTTGATCTTGACGGCGATGAGATCGATGGTTTTGATGAAGCAATCTGTCCTCTTGATTTTGAGACTGCAGGAATCATAATCGATAATGACATCAATAAAATGATTGTTGAACCACTTACACAAGGCGTCACACTTCACGCTATAATTGATGCTTGTCACAGTGGAACTGTTCTTGATCTGCCGCGAGTGTACGACCATAACAGGTAAGGGCCTTTTTTCGATGGTTTCGTTTTACTGCTTGTGCATATTTTGGTTCAATACTAAATTACTAAGGGATATAGGCATTTAATTTGGAAGAGAAACGACTCTTTTTAGTGTTACATTATGGTCCCACGATATAGATTTCAATTAACAGACTGGATTTGATCATATTACTTCTTAAAAGTCAGAAAGCCTTCAGGCTAATAAGATCCACCAACGAAGAAAAAAGTCAAGTCATTGGACTAAAGGACCCTATATAGTGTAGCATCCGGTCCATGTTACACTGATATTTTCTCCTTCAGAAGTTTATTGGTTGAGATTAAGCTTCACTTTCTCCCTCTACTATATTGTGTGTAACTGATGATTATAAATCCATTCATGGGAGTTACATAGACCCCGTTGCAGATGTTTTTGGGTAAAATTTTATTTCTTTTTCACACTAGGGGGAGATGGAAAGATAATTATCCTGCATCAGGTGCTTATAAAGGTACAAGTGGAGGGAAGGCCATCTGTTTCAGTGCTTGTGAGGACTATCAACAAGCTTCAGATACCTCTGTAAGTTTCCCAAAGCTGCTGTGGTATTCTTCCACGCGACGATGGCGAATGGCGGGTGGTTATGAGGGTGATTTTCAGCCATAACCAGTCGTATCATTGATAAGTAGTATATGACAATGACAATTTAACTGCTAATTAAAACTCTCCTCTTGTATCAACCTAATAATGTAGGCTTTCTCTCCGGAGATTGCTGGTGCCATGACATTCACATTTATAAAAGCAGTCGTGGAGAACAAAGAAATAACATATCATGGAATTCTCGATTCTATTCACATTGCCATCCAAGACGCCAATAATTCTAAAAGAGGATGCGGAATGCTGAAACGGATGTGTCACCAGAAGATGCTACAGGTACTGACTTTCCTACTTTAACGTCCCTTTGGCCACTTAGTATAAGCTGACACAGAGATAGCTAGTTTGGAAGTCTAATCCCTTCCGATTGAAAATTTTTGCTGTTGGCGCATTATCTCCTCTCCATAACCTCTTTCTAGGTAATTTCACTGCTGATCCATTGTTTTGCACCGCCACCGTGCAGGATCCAATGCTATCATCTTCCGAATCATTCAACGTTAACTCCTCATTCAACCTCTAAGCAATGGTGAAGCATGAAAGTTCATTTTTTGGCGCAATAATGCAAGTCATTGCAGATGTAATTCTCCCTGGTTATGTTGTATTTGTACGAATAACTCAGGACGAGTGCAAATGCTGCGATACCCAGCAATATGTTACAAGGGCAACCACTTGGAAAAGTTCAATTTATACTGTAATAGTTGGACTGTGAAACGAACAAATACTTTGCGTATAGCGAAAATGTTAAAGAATCTGCCAGAATGAAAAGCTTATGCTATTAGAAAGAAGGCGGTGAATCGAATTCCCATTACGGATGCTGGAGGATGCCTCTTCAGGAGTCCATTCCCGTCATAATGATGGAATTTCTTGTCCAGCTAAAAGTTAATCGTAGAAGTAAATACCATTTCGCACCATAGTCTAAATTAGTACATAATGCTTAATTATGGTAGCAAACTCGCACCATGGTCTAAAATTACAATAAGTTGGCAATGGACTAATATAATAACTTGCAAAATACATGGAGTAAACTTGGCAAAGATTTTCTTTTATCTGGTGAATGCAGAATACTTCCTTCATTTCTGACACTTTTTTCCACTTGTATCGATCTGAATAGCTCGAGCTTTTCAATCCTAAAACCTTGGTCGTTTCCTTCAAAGTTAAAAACTTGCAGCACAAGCTGATTCTTTTTAGTGCACTCCTGGAATCAAATACTCAGAAAAACCCAAATATGCTATTCAGATTTCAGTTCCACTCACTAAATCCAAGACAGGAACGAAAATTCTGCCACTCAAAAAACTGCAAAAAGCATAATTAAAGACTGAATATGGTTCTTTAGAACATTTATTATAGTGGCTGACATATATGATGCTCACTTCACGTTGACAAAAGAATATAGATTCGTTCGAGATCATCCCTGAGCAAAGGAGATAAATGAGACCTTTATATGTTGTGAATTTTGATGATCAAATACTTCTACCTTGACCTTCACTGCCCCACCAAGATTCACAATCCCAGGATTTTTTTTTTTTTAAAAGAAAAGAAATGGCAACAAGAACAGAGAAATGCCAATGGTGTGGGGTAAATCTGCTTCTGCCTCTCCAACTTCAAGCAAATTCAGTACGCTGTCCTAACTGCCAATATATCATACAGCTCCAGCACAGCCCCGATCTCTATTTCCATCCTGAAGGGAATGGATATCTCAATGGGGCATCAAACAACTGCATTGGCATGGGGTTTCCAGCATATAGGAATTGCTGCAAGCAAGATTTCGAGCCTTCTTGGCTAAATGGCTATCCACGTTACATGCAATCGTATCAAATGCCAATGCAGGTGCTACCACCCACTTTTCATGGGCGAAAACGGGCTGTTCTTTGTGGGGTGAGCTACAAGGGGCACCCAAAGAGTCTCAAAGGAAGTGTTAATGATGTATTATGCATGAAATATTTTCTTGTTGAGAGGATGGGATTTCCTAATTCTTCTGTTATTGTTCTAACAGGTATGCACCACAATCCCACCTGTGAAACAAAATTAAGTTTTGTAGTCACTATAAAGTAAGAGATGCAAAGTTGTGATCGGTAATGGAGTACTTTTCCTCAGTCTGATATCTTGAAGAACATGAATCTATGCTAAGGAAATGAAAGTCTTCTATATCTAACCTAGGTGTGGTAAATGGCATTTCCCACAGGATTATAAACAAAAGGAATGAAAAGAATTGTCAATACCTGAATCTACTTTAAGATCTGAGTAAAGTTCAACCTTTTTTTTAAATATAAATCAATGGATATTAAAGCATAGACAGCTAACGTCATATCTTTCAAAAATAGCTCAACTGTCCAGACTATAGCTCATTCTGAAATTTTGCAGAAGAAGAGAAAGATCCTTTTCGGGTCCCAACCAAGCATAACATCCAAAGAGCCTTACACTGGCTTGTGCAAGGTTGTCAATCAGGGGACTCTTTGGTGTTTCATTACTCGGGCCATGGCTCTCGTGTCCGAGACCATGATGGGGATGAGATCGATGGACATGATGAATCATTGTGCCCTGTTGACTATGAGACTGAGGGGAAGATCCTGGACGATGAGATCAATGCTACCATAGTAAGGCCACTGCTCCGGGGTGCAACACTTCATGCCATCATCGACACTTGCTTCAGTGGAACTTTCTTAGATCTGCCATTCATGTGCAGGATGAACAGGTAAATAATTTCCTTGTCCATTCTGAAGCTGTAAGCAGTACAGTATGATTACTTACAAAGTCCTGTTGTAAAGTAGGGAAGGATACTATCGGTGGGTAGATCATAGCATTCCATATGCTGCATATAAGGGTACAAGAGGTGGCTTAGCAATCTCTTTCAGTGCCTGTGATGATGATCAAAATTCCGGGGACACTACTGTTAGTACTCAAAACATTTCTTTTGCTTCTGATTTTCAAATCAATTGGCTTGTTCTCGAGAATAGCATGGATAATTAATCATTCTCCTTTGCTCACTAAGCATTTTAATGTACAGAATGAGTCAGCAGATCAGTTTTTATTATCGACCGCGCAGAATTGATACTGAATGTGAAAGATGAAGTTCTCCCTGCTAGAAATAATCTGATTGGCCCAAAACAGAAAAGAATCTGTGCATCCCTCAGACCTTCTTAATTAGCTTAAGTTCAATTCGATTTTTGTTTGGCACTCAAAACTTTCCAGAACTTTAGGACCTCAAAAATAAACTAATAAGGTCTTGTACCATAATCTGCAGTATACAACCCAAAAAAGGCTTGTCAGACCCTTGTTTAGTCCTCTGGAATACGATTATGGCGTAACATTTTATGTTGCCTGAGCAGGTTTTCACAGGCACAGCGACTGGCGCCCTGACTTACAGCTTCATCCAAACAGTAGAACGTGAACCAAGATTGACATATGGGCGCTTACTTTCTACCATGCGCAACAGTATCAGTAAAGCACAAAATGGATTTTTAAATTTCACTAGCTCATTACAGGTATTGAATATTGACATGCTTTCCCAAGGCTTTTTCTGCTTTCTACATGTCAATTTTAGTTCTTTTACAATGAATGGTAAAGCATTTACTTTTGGCGACTCAATTAAAAGTGAAATCATGCCATCGATAGCAGGGGATTAAAAGATGTATCAATTTCAAAAACAGTCTTATGCCATCCTACACATGCATGTAAATTGTTGATTGGCTTAATTAAAAAGAAACCTCTTGGATGAAAAAAATGAGGAAGAAAAAAGCATGACCCAATAATATAGCATGCCTTACAGTTTGTAAGGAAACTAAAACAGCTAAAAGTATTCAAGTTCAGGGGCAAATCAAGAGCTTAAGAAGGAGATGAGCAGTTGATTTCTGGTCAATTTCAGTCCCATATGCATCTGATGTACTCATATTTAAAAAGCAGATGTAACAGCGTGTTTTACTTTGGTATTGTGCAGGAACCTCAACTATCCTCTTCTGAACAGTTTGATATTTATTCAAAGGCGATAATCTTATAGATCCAGCTATGCTTTTAACAGATAATCAGGACCAAGTGTACTGGCTTTACTTCCTGAGTCGTATAACAGCTTCTTCAAGTCTAAAATGCCCTCCCTTTAACTTTAGCTGAAGCTATGCACAAAAAAATCATAATACAGGCACTACATGGTGACTGTCAGTTTGATAATTAGTACTTTATTTGTATGAGTAAAAGTGCAACGTATTTCACATGAATCCCTGGTGTAATTTACATGTCTAAGACACTTAGTTTCCAGCCGTCTCCTATAGAATGCTCTTCTTTTCATCTCCTATGTTATCCGAGTCTCATATGGAAAACTACACAATCAACGAGTGCCTAAATTTTTTTTCAGTTGCTACTTTGATTGGGTATTCATTACTGATACGAAAGATCAAAAGACTGGAGATGTCGTACATTACATCTGAGAGCCAAACCAGAACTAATATATCATAGTATAATCTGGTTGTGCTGTCCCTTGCTAGCTATGCTCTTTCTGAGAGTGAGCGATGCCAAGATGTACCAATATAGGACTGCAAGAGCTCATTCAGCAAGCCGTCAACAAGTTTGATACGTGATGAATTTGTCATGAATTTAACTGAAGATTTAACAAATGCACCTAATCAAATTCTTCCTTTCAAAACTTCAGGTGAGACAAGTCAATTTCTCTGGATTTATCTAGTAAAAGGGATACAGATAGCATCCTTATTAGTAGATTCTTCCAAATAATATGAGATTTTTTCAAAACAATTGATAGAAAATTGGAGGGTATGCATCGAGTAACTTATTTGTTTGCAAAGCCACTGTTTGGTTGAAACAAAACCATTAAACAAAAATTTCAACAAAGTTAGTGGCTTCATATTTGTTTGCTAAAAAAAACCCACAAGATTGTTTAGAAAAGTTTCTATTCAGCACTAAAGAGAATAAAAGGACAAAAAAAAAAATCCCTAAAGTGTGATACTTTGTCCGTTCCCACAAAGCCAACCTTCATGAAATCAGAGAGCATTGCTTTCCTCACCAGTAATGCTTTCTTTCATGAAAGAACTTGCATATAAATTGCGTCATAACTTTCCTCACCAGTAAGGTTTCACAGGCATTCTGTCACTGTATTTAGCCTTGGCTTGGATGTTACTTTTGCATGTATGAGATTTTATTCTGATATGCTGTCTACTTATTTGCCTCTATCATATATCAACTAGGTGGCCTACTATTGAAGGGAATAGCCCAAAGACATGAAATATTCCACTAATGGAAACGATGGGTCAAACAGAATATGGGTCGGCCAAGGTAGGTTTAAAGGGGAAGTATCTGATTCCCCATCTCTACTTTGGCTTTTCTGCAATAAATTCAACGTGTCAACCCTTTACAAGCTTAAATACAACTCCTTACGGACTTGTTTCGAATTCATCCATCAGCATCTCATCCGCAAGAAGCTCACTGAATAGAAATGTCAGGTAGGAGAATAAGGTGCAGTTGGTGTGGGGTTCAACTGACAGTGCCACCCAGAGCGCAAAATATTCAGTGTGCAGTGTGTAAAGCTGTAACACGGGTTCAACAAAATGATCGTCTTCCTGGTCAAGCTCAAAGTTCACTTCACGATGCAACAAATAAGTTGAAGGGGTTTCTTAATACAGTTTCCAGCAATATTAATTCAATGGTAGCATCAGTTAATAACTACCCTATGCAGGCATCGAGTTATGGTAGTTATGCCCAACCTGCAAGACCTATTTCCTCACTGATGCCTTTTCCAGCAAAAGGGAAGAAACGAGCAGTGTTATGTGCAGTGAGCTACTATGGACAGAGACATAGGCTAAAAGGAACTGTCAACGATGTAAGGTGCATGAAATATTTTCTGGTTGAGAGGATGGGTTTTCCAAATGACTCCATACTTCTTCTTTCAGGTAAAAATTCTTTGCATCATATAATTTTGAAACTCCCTGGCCTTGTGAAAATTAAGCTCCACATTTGTCTGATATAAAACTTGCATATTTAATCTGCAGAAGAAGAGCCCAATCCTTCCTTGATCCCGACGAAGTACAATATCAGAAAGGCCTTGCAGTGGCTTGTCCAAGGTTGCCAATCAGGTGATTCATTAGTATTTCACTATTCAGGTCATGGCTCACAACAGCGTGACTTGAATGGAGACGAGATAGATGGGTATGACGAAATGTTGTTGCCAGTTGATCACCAAATTGAAGGAACAATACTGGATGACGAGATCAATGCCACCATTGTGAAGCCACTGCCCAGTGGCGCCAAGCTCCACGCCATCATTGATGCATGCCACAGCGGCACTGTCCTTGATCTGCCATTTTTGTGCAGAATGAACAGGTTAGCATAGGTATTGCTGTAATGCAGTTGCAATTAAGAAGCAGATTCCGGACTAGCCAAAAGAGAAGAAAAATGAGTATTTCTTTATCTTGTAGTGAAGGATACTATGTCTGGGAGGATCATGGTTTCTTGTCATCCACATACAAAGGTACAAGTGGTGGGCTGGCCATCTCCTTTAGCGCTTGTGATGATCATCAAGTATCAGTAGATACCATGGTGAGTAACCAGTTTTAGTATCTGCCTCTTAAATTTCTTGTATTCGTGCGACACCAGCAACAAATGGGGTACGTAGCAGATCACATAAAATTGAATATGCAATTCCTTCCAATCCTAATAAATTGAGGCACTTGACGAATAGAGAGAGAGTTTCCACAAAGTTTCTTGCTTTCTGCAAGATGCTGTTATTTCACAACTCTAAATATCAGAGATCTTAAAGTAAGTACACTCCAGATCGAGCAACTTGCATGTTCAAAAAACGTCACTGGTTCAGGCTCTCTCAGGAAACGCTGTCACCGGAGCCATGACGTACAGCTTCATCCAAGCTGCACAAAAGGAACCCGGATTGACGTATGGTCGCCTGCTGAATTCCATGAGCCAGATAATTCGGGATGCCAAAGCTGGAACACATCTAAATGGACCCATTTCAGCTCTTTTGAGAAAAGTATTGGGCACAGACTTGTCACAGGTTAGCACCGACACCGACACGCCACAATTCATTACTGGACAATGCCTGCCCATCGAATTTATATTTTGATAGTACAACTCCCTCTATTAATTCCTGTGCATGGCATATCTATCTTTACTAGAGAGTAAAATTTCTGCAGTGGATCTCGAGCATAAATTGTTGTCACGTAAGCTAATTAAACGCATTCCACTCATTGTAATTTTGGACCTTATGAAGATTACGTAATGCAAAATGCCAAAAAAGCATTACCAGGGTAATGATGTTCATCTCAACACCAAAAAAATTGAGAGGGCCACGGGTTTAATTACTAAACTTATCCAGTTGATGCTCTGTTTTCCTAGTTGTAAGGTAGCCTTCATATGGCATTCTCATGATGCCTGAGCTCCGAAGGGGAGAGAGCAAGTAATAATACGGGGTCATCCTCGTCCTTCTATTAGCTAGCGTGATAAGTTTCCGTTTGATCCATCAGCAAATATAAATAGTATGGTACTGATTTGCTTGGATTTCAGTTTCCCGTTCACTGTTTCTTTATTGGTTATTGCATCCTGCAGGTGCCACAATTGTCGTCTTCTGCAAAATTTGATATTTACTCGAAGCCATTGAGTCTCTAGGATGAGAAGACGTAGCCACATTACGAGGATCTTCCGCTTGACTTGGATGTATATGACTGTATGTAGATTGGAAAATATTTCGACCTTAAAAACCCAATCAATCACCAGTGGAACGAAACAAATTTCGAATGTCTGAGACCAGATGTAGCACACATCCCGCAATCTCCCTTATGTTGGCCGAGGCCAACATTGTACTGATCCAAGTAAATAAACAAATACTTCCTCCGTGCGACTTTCATAGTCTTATTACTATTATTATTATTATTTTTAAGTAGTTATCTTTATTTCAAGAATAAATGTTAAAGTATCTATATATACCTATATAAATTCGAACAAACCTTCTCACACCTCCAAAACTACCAATTCCTTTTCTCTAGCATTTTATATTTAATTTAATTCATAAAATATATTCCTCTCCACTTCCACATCTCCTCTTCACATTTGAAATTGTTAGTTATTTTTTAAAATCATTTCATTTGTATATTTTTATGATAATAAAGCCTGTGTAGATAGTTAACTAGGTGTTAATTTTGTTTGTTTTTAAATTTACTCTTATTTCTATTACTCATTAACCCTTATCTGTGCAATATATAAGGAGAGAGTGCCATTGTGTAGTGTAAACACACAATGTTATTTTTTAAAATTTCTAATATACCCTTAATAATAAGGGTAAATTTGTCTCAATCACAGATAGTTATTTGAAGCAGACCTCCAACTAACTACAATTTTCTCATGCTAATTTCCAACTCTCACATATTCTTCTTTACTTCCATCATCTTTGTCTCGTGTATGATTATTTGAATTCTAATGGAATTTGACCCATAAAATCCATAAAAAAAAAACTTTTTGCAGAGATAATTGTACTGTAATAAATATATTTTTTTTTTGTTAATCGCATACACCTTAAAGTGTGCCTTAAGCACTAGTCTATATAAATTTGAGTAGAGATTTTCAGGAACAAACCTCCTCACACCTCCAAACTCCCAATTCCTTTTTTTTTTTTTCATAGCATTTCGCATTTAATTTAATTCATAAAATATCCTTTCAACTCCCATATCTATTCTTCACATTTGCAATTGTTAGTTATTTTTAAAATTATTTCATTTCAAATTGTTAGTTGCTATGCGTATGCATGTTATCCTTTAAAGAAATGCATGCCTTAATGGTTTTTTTGGGAAGCCTTTTTTAAAATTTTTTAACTGCAAATATTTATTTAAAAACCATTTCAGAATGTTTGTTCATAGAAAAATTTCAAAGGTAGTAAAATTTCACAAAATTTACACTTCAAATCAAATTTTCTCCAAAATCATGATTCCATCTTTTGATTTGGTAAAAAAAATGCTTGAAAAATGAGAAATTGAGTTATGAATAGTGAAAAAGTTGAAACATGGGACAAGATTGGGAAAGGGCAAACTATGGCCGAGATAGTTAAAGTTTTAGCTATAATATACATGGGAGGAAGAATGGTAAAATAAGAGATGAATAGGGTTACGAGAATGGATAGGAGAGAGGGCTATTAGCCTATTAAGAACAAAAAGCTTAGGACTTGCAAGAGAAGCCAAGGGGGTTGTTATAGAGAAGGTGGGGCTACAAGATGAAATAAGGGTGGTGTAGGAGGCGATTATAGGTAGGGTTACGAGGTGGGGAGAATGGTGTAATTACATGGATGTATCTTTGTTTAGGTGCTTGACGGATTATTGTTGCAAAATCTATGTTGCTCGTCTCTGCATAACTCGTCAGTACATCGATTCTAGTTATCAAATTCTATAGAGGGTTGGAACCATGGTTCAAAGTCGCGGTCGCGGTCACGGTCGCGGCTTGGAACGTTCCACATCGGTCTCGACATATCGGTCGCGGTCTCGGTGAGACACAAATTTTTAAAATATTTAATATTCTAAAATTTGTAAAAAATATGATAAATAAAAATAATTAAAATTTAGTAAAAATAATAAAAATTCAAGTTGACTCGGAATGACTCGGAGTGACTCGGTGTGACTCGACCGTTTTAACCCTTCACGGTGACGTCTCGGCCTGTCGCGTATCTCGGAACGTTTCGGTCGCGGTATCGTCTCGGACTAGGCCGAGACGGCCGAGTCGTCTCGGTCTCGGCCGAGTCTTCGAACCATGGTTGGAACTAGGAACCCGAGTTTAGGCAGAGTGGTGAACGAACACCACCCTTTCCTGGTCTTTTGGCCACTTTCCCTCCAATTCTGCCTTAGCAGTAAACAGAAACATCTGCATTGCCTTGCTTATTTACGAAGGGACTTTGGTCATTTCAAAGATGCTTTTTACATTATTTTGACGGTCTCTGTTGCGTTGGCTTGTTGTTCAAAGTAGTTATTGGAACGCGCATGGGTTGGGACTATTGCAGGGCAAGCAACTATAGTTTTATATGCTTCCATGGGTTGGGAATATTGCAGGGTAAGTAGTTATGGTTTCTATACTTCTATTCCAAGCCTCCAAGAGCTGATGATGGACGTCCATGGCTGGGGTGGGAATTTTTAAAGTGGATGGATTCGGTATCGTCCCTTCAGTGCGTAGTTGGCTGGGCATCTGATTCTTCGAATCTCATTTGAAGATAACAAGCATTTGTTAAAGTTCTGAACACTTATATCACGCTTAGAATAAAGGGTTAAAAAAAACAGAGAAGAAGTTGCCCTTCTTGACAGCTGTGTACTTGACAGAACTTTTGTTTCAGCTTAGTCTCCTCTTGCGACTTCTACAACATGAGTTCTTACGTACGACTTACAATTTGGTATCTCGCGGCTAAACAGTGTTTTCAAGTTCACATCTTGTAAACAGTCAAATTGCCTGAATAATTAATTTACGCAAGGGCGGAATAGCTTTGAGTTCTACAATATTTACCGTGAAACGTCTTTTAGAGTTTAGCTCCTTTTCTATTTTTGGGTAAGAAAGAGTTTAGCTCCTTATATTTGCAATTAGATCAATAATTTGCATGCATGAAAATCTTATCATATCCACCCATCACTGTCCCTCCTAAATCTTGAACCAGGTCTTTTAAGGAATATCTTATTCCTCTAATCAAATGGCGGGTTACCATTGTAATTGGTAGCAGGGTTACTCAAATCATACATGTCACTGCAAAAGTTGTCAATCTTTGAATCATACAAAAGTTGACAGTTACTGGTATGGATACTGTTACTTGTAAAACATGCCATCGAATATCATCAGCAACTAAACATACGACCAAAATCCGATGCCATGGATGCCAGGGAACTATTTTGATTGGCAATAGTCAAGTATCGGTTCCGTTGGACATGAGCAAATGGCCGAGCCATGATCAAGATAACATCATGACTGAACGAAAAGGGTTCCGTTATTTCTGTAAGAAAATCTCAGGTATCAGTCCAAGAAGTTCTCCCAGCTTTAGCCAATTTCCTACTGCAAGACTATCAGATACACCACCAAGAGGGAAGCGAGCACTACTTTGTGGAGTATCTTACAATCAGAATAAGAAATTGAAGCTCAGAGGAACAACACCAGATGTAATGAACATGGCAAAACTGCTCGTTCAGCAATTTGGTTTCCCAACTAATGCTATCCTTGTCCTAGGAGGTATTGCCGGTAACAATTACTGATAAATGTTGTTGAAAGCATGCTAGGGGCATGAGATTGAACATCTGTGAGGAATTGAATTGTTTCTAATTTGAACATAGACATCAGGTTATTGTGTCTTTACATTCATTTGACTCTTGTTCATCTTATTCCTGTGGCAGTTGTTACTGATTTTTCAATTGGAAATACTTTCTCAGTCTTATCTCTTGGTATAATTGTAACTGAGGCCTATTACACTTTCCTTAATAATTTTCTTCCATTCCTGATGTAGTACCATAAATGTTACTTTTTCCAATTGATGCATCTTACAAAGACACTAAACAACTTGTAGATTTTACGTCATATGAGACTCCAACAAGGATGAATATTATACGGGCCTTTGACTGGCTGGTGAAAGACTCGCAATCAGGGGATTCTTTGGTGTTCTATTTCTCGGGGCATGGCGTACGACAACTTGATCATGACGGCGATGAGATCGATGGTTTTGATGAAGCAATCTGTCCTCTTGATTTTGAGACTGCAGGAATCATAATCGATAATGAAATCAATAAAATGATTGTTGAACCGCTTAAACAAGGCGTCACACTTCACGCTATAATTGATGCTTGTCACAGTGGAACTGTTCTTGATCTGCCGCGAGTGTACGACCATAACAGGTAAGGGCCCTTTTTCGATGGTTTCGTTTCACTGCTTGTGCATAGTTTGGTTCAATACTAATGGATATAGGCATGTAATTCAGAAGAGAAACGACTCTTTTTAGTGTTACATTATGGTCCCACGATATAGATTTCAATTAACAGACTGGATTTGATCATATTACTTCTTAAAAGTCAGAAAGCCTTCAGGCTAATAAGATCCACCAACGAAGAAAAAAGTCAAGTCATTGAACTAAAGGACCCTATATAGCGTAGCATCCGGTCCATGTTACACTGATATTTTCTCCTCCAGAAGTTTATTGGTTGAGATTAAGCTTCACTTTCTCCCTCTACTATATTGTGTGTAACTGATGATTATAAATCCATTTATGGGAGTTACATAGACCCCGTTGCAGATGTTTTTGGGTAAAATTTTATTTCTTTTTCACACTAGGGGGAGATGGAAAGATAATTATCCTGCATCAGGTGCTTATAAAGGTACAAGTGGAGGGAAGGCCATCTGTTTCAGTGCTTGTGAGGACTATCAACAAGCTTCAGATACCTCTGTAAGTTTCCCAAAGCTGCTGTGGTATTCTTCCACGCGACGATGGCGAATGGCGGGTGGTTATGAGGGTGATTTTCAGCCATAACCAGTCGTATCATTGATAAGTAGTATGTGACAATGACAATTTAACTGCTAATTAAAACTCTCCTCTTGTATCAACCTAATAATGTAGGCTTTCTCTCCGGAGATGGCTGGTGCCATGACATTCACATTTATAAAAGCAGTCGTGGAGAACAAAGAAATAACATACCATGGAATTCTCGATTTTATGCACAATGCCATCGAAAACGCCAATAAATCTCAAAGAGGATGCGGAATGCTGAACCGGATGTTTTACCCGAAGATGCTACAGGTACTGACTTTCCTACTTTAACGTCCCTTTGGCCACTTAGTATAAGCTGACACAGAGATAGCTAGTTTGGAAGTCTAATCCCTTCCGATTGAAAATTTTTGCTGTTGGCGCATTATCTCCTCTCCATAACCTCTTTCTGGGTAATTTCACTGCTGATCCATTGTTTTGCACCGCCACCGTGCAGGATCCAATGCTATCATCTTCCGAATCATTCAACGTTAACTCCTCATTCAACCTCTAAGCAATGGTGAAGCATGAAAGTTCATTTTTTGGCGCAATAATGCAAGTCATTGCAGATGTAATTCTCCCTGGTTATGTTGTATTTGTACGAATAACTCAGGAAAAGTGCAAATGTTACGATACCCAGCAATATGTCAGAAGGGCAACCACTTGGAAAAGTTCAATTTATACTGTAATAGTTGGACTGTGAAACGAACAAATACTTTGCGTATACCGAAAATGTTAAATAATCTGCCAGAATGAAAAGCTTATGCTATTAGAAAGAAGGCGGTGAATCCAATTCCCATTACGGATGCTGGAGGATGCCTCTTCAGGAGTCCATTCCCGTCATAATGATGGAATTTCTTGTCCAGCTAAATGTTAATCGTAGAAGTAAATACCATTTCGCGCCATAGTCTAAATTAGTACATAATGCTTAATTATGGTAGCAAACTCGCACCATGGTCTAAAATTACAATAAGTAGGCAATAGACTAATATAATAACTTGCAAAATACATGGAGTAAACTTGGCAAAGATTTTCTTTTATCCCCTTTTATCAGGTGAATGCAAAATATTTTCTTCATTTCGGACACTTTTTTCCACTTGTATCGATCTGAATAACTCGAGTTTTTCGATCCTAAAACTTTCGATCCTATCAGGTGAATGGATTGAAGAGGAGGCTATTAGCCTATTAAGGACAAAAAGCATAGGGTTTGCGAGACAAGCGAAGGGGTTGTTATAGAGAAGGTGGGGCTACAGGATGAAATAAGGGTGGTGTAAGAGGCGATTATAGGTAGGGTTACGAGGTGGAGAGAATGGTGAGAATAGGGAGAAGTTACAGAGATGGTGATGATGTATTTGTTTAGCGTGCTTTAATTTTGGTTACTTCTTAAGGTACCTGTTACAAATACAAACCCCCAGTGACATATTTTCCCTTCTTTCTCCACCTTCCCTTTCTTGTCAAGACTTGCACTTTGAATTCCACTTTGTAATGCATAGAAACTTGTACTTTGAAATTCACTTTCTTTTCCACGTAAAAGAATATACCGGAAATTTGAAACCCGTTATAAATTTAAAACTATATAAACAAAAGATCATAACAAAAAAACAAATTGACATTGTCAGGAACAAATTAAAAATTTTGTGGTAATTGCGATCTATAGATGTGATTTTATAGGTGTGATCATTATCAATTAGTTAAAATTTTGAAGTTGTGATTTGAATTTCTATTGTTGAAGTTAATGGGGTTGCGTAAATTGGAAAATGAGAAGGAATAAGGATTATTTAATATATCTAAATTAAAACAAATCTAAAATTGTAGGAACAAGGGATTGGGGTTTTGGAGGCTTCTAATGAAAAACTCTCCCTCTAATACATATCTTACATATATAAACAGTGCCTCATGGTCCAGTTATTCTGTGATTTTTGTGAGCTTGAGGGGTGTTTTGGTCTTTTGGCGTTGGATGGCAGTGGTTTTGCTGCCCATGGACCGGTTATCCGGTAATTATGGACAATTTTGGTGGCTTTTGTATTTGTGCTTCAGGTGTGTGTTTGGTTTCTCCAACTAAGACCATCCATCTTGTTCGTAATTGTCGTTGCTTCAGCTCTACCGGTGAGTGGACGGTGGGCGGTATGCTAAGCGGTCTGTGAGAGCCGCAAAAAACTCCCTTGCCTAGGTAATCTTGTGAGCAAGCCATGTCAAAAGCAGTACATTGGATTTGTTTCTTTCTTCAATTGAAGGCTTGGGTTTGGCGGTTTTGCAATGTGAATTCTTCACTCTTTTGCCTCGCTAATAAAAGCAACTTCCTTTTTCAATTGAAAGTTTCAGTTCCCTAATTTTGCAAGGTTAACACCTCGCTTTATTTTTGCCTTTTGGTGGTTTTGCAGGCTGAGCCCTTCACTCCATTTCCTCCTTGATCATATTTTCTTTGCCGCACTGTTATTTTCTTGTCACAAGACACGATTTGCTTGTTCTGCTCTTCATGTTTCTCCATTTATAATTAAGGGCTGTATTTAAGATAAATAATTGAGATTACTCATTTTTGCTCGATTATGATTGTAAGAAATATTGATAAAAACTTAGTTTTGGTACTTTTGCAAGGTGAACTCCTTGCTCTACTTTTGCCTTGATTTATTTTGTCTGCTGTACTGCTATTTTCTTACTGCTTGTCAGTTGTCTCTGGCTGTTAAATTTCTTGGTTTGTAATTAGATTCTGTGTGCGAGGTTGATTATAAACTATTAGTGTTAAATTTCTTGACCTGCCTTTAGAAAAGCAACTGGATTTGTTTGCCTGAATTGGAGGATAAGCTTTTGTTAATAGTTGGTGCGAAGGTAGTAATAAATGTAGCTCTTTGTTTTGGTGCGAAGGTAGTAGTAAATGTAGCTGTTATGGTTGAACGTCTGATTGCTCCTTTTTGCATGAAGTCTACTTCAATTATAGCATAAAAACTACTTTCCACAATGCTGGAGCAAAAAGAAACATATGACAGTGTTAGACCCGAAAACAACACTCTTTTCTAGGCGACCACACAATGGAGCAATTGATGAAAAAGCACAAGTGCTTGTGAGTTGAAAAAATAAGCAATATACAGATTTCAAACGTAACAATAAGTAAATAAAAAGAAAAGAATAGCAAATCAATTAACTACCCACCTCCTCTTGAGCTTGTAGGTTAATTCAACAATCTACTTCAAGTTGATGAATTACAATCACTCTTGTGTACAAAGAAAGGTTCACCTCCTCCTTGCCCCGAACTCCACTTGGTCAAGTCAGAACGTTTTACTATCCCTCAGTACAACCCTCACAGAGTTACACTCATGAAGTATTCACTCACAAATGAAAAGTTTACAATGAATCTCACACCACTAAAATTACAAATCTTCTTTGAAGAGTATTTTCTCACTAAAATCACTCTAAATCTTTTGTATTTTTAGTATACAAAAGTTGTTTGAAGTATCTGACCAACCACTATTTATATAGGATCAAAAAAGTGTCTCAATAATACTTCCAACGGATAAAAAGTAGCTGAAGAGTCAACTAGCCGTTGAACTGTTGGATGTCCGATAGCCCTGTTTTATGCGTCCGACAGCGGGCAGTGAGTTTAAAAGATTTTCTTCAATTCTTTCGGACGTCCGGTGCAAGCTTTTTGTGCGTCCGACAGCAAACAAAGAGATTTGAGAAATTATTTTGTTTCTGTCGGACGTCCGGTAGAGACATATTCAGCGTCCGATAGATTTGTCGACTTCAAAGGATCCTATTGGACGTCCGAAGTATGCGTCCGAAGTTGTGCAATGATTATCGGACGTCCGGTACTGTCTTCTTGAGCGTCCGACAGGTTCAGCATACTCTGTCTTTTTCAAATGTGCTTAGTTTTTTAACCTGATTTATTTCATTACTGAAAAAGCTTTTGAGGAGATGTTAGCAACATCCATTTGTTTTGTAATCATCAAAAGTTAGGGACCAAGGTCAACATTCTCCTCCTTTTTGATGATGACAAAACATTGGATGGGAGAAAGAAAAAATTGAGCATATATAAGCATAATCTCCCCCTCACACAATGCATCTAAACTTATGAATTCAGAATAATTCTCCCTTACACATAATATCAATTTCTCCCCCTTTTTGTCATCATAAGGTGAGAGTAAAAATCTCATACCGTAATCCAGCAACAATAACAGGGAATCTAACATTCCAAACAAAAACAGAGAAATGCTACCAGAAATCAGCAATCACCAACATACCAACATATCACAGAGAGTTTAACAGATCAGAACAGTTTTTTCTCTCCTTTTTTTTGACATCATACAAATTCAGTAAAAAATCAAGAAAAATTCAGTTCAAAGCGTCAGAAACATCAAAAGAGAATTACAAAAGGTATTATGAACAAGAATCTCATCAATTTTACCAATATCTCCTACTTGTCAGAGTTAATATCATGTCTAACTATCCACATGCATTTCATGCCTCTTCTCATATTTTTTTCATATAACAATCACTTTTCATGTAACCTTTTTGATAACAAAAATTACACATAACCAAAGATTATTTACATGAACAAATTTAATAAATCTTACATGTCTTCTCTTATAAATAGTAAATTCATTTGCAGCAGAATTTATCTTAAAATGAGGTTTTGATTTATTACTTTGAAAATAGTCTTATTTTTTATGCTGGAGCAACTCATTTAAATTATCCATTCTTTTTATCAAATCACCTTGTTCCTTTTTAAACATTTCACAAAGTCTTATTTTTTTTATCAAGTTCAAAGTGTAAAACAGTCTCGCTCTTTTTTAAGAAATCACTTTCAGTTTTCAGCTTTTTGTTTTCTTGAAAAAGACGTGTATTGTCTTGAAGAAGAAAACTAATCTTATGTTTTAATTCCGTGATTCTAGCATAAGATTCTTTCAAACTATCATGCAATTTTATAATGAAAGATTCAAGATCATCATCAGTTTCATCATCACTATCAAGTTGAGAGCGACATGTAGTTACCTCATCATCTCCAATGGCCATAAAAGTCAATTGAACAGATTCTTCTTCATCTTCACTTTCACCATCGGAGTTACACTCATTCCATATGAACTGAAAATTATTGAATCTTGATTTTCTTTCATCTTTCTTCTTCATCACTGGACACTCGGTTGCATAGTGTCTAGATTGGCCGCATTCAAAGCATTTATTAGTTTACTTTTTGTTGAACTCTAGCTTCCTTTTGTTTCTCAAGTTATTGGACTGATTCGGGAAGGAGTTTCTAGGTCCACCTTTTCTGAATCTCCTCTTGTTAAATATTCTTTTGAAGTCTCGTGTGATGAGTGCAATATTACTATCATCACCTTCCATATCATCTTCACTCACAGAGGTTGTATCATTTTCATCTTGTAAAGCATTCAGAGCAATATTTTTTCTTACTTTTGTATCTTTTTCTTCCTGCACCTTGGACTTGAATTTTAGCTCATAAGAAGTCAGTGAATTAATGAGAGATTCAATAGGTAAGGTATGTAGATCTTTGGTTTCCTCAATAGCAGTCACTTTACTTTCCCAATTCTTCGATAAGGCATTCAGAATTTTTCTATTTTTCTCACCTAAAGAGTATTCTTTTTCTAGCACCTCCAAATCCTTAATGAGGTCATTGAATCTACAATACAAGTCATCAATGTTTTCATGAGGTTGCATCTTGAAGGATTCATACTTTGTAACTAGAATAGACTTCTTTTGTTCTCTAACATTCTTACTACCTTCATGAATTTCTCTCAATTTATCCCAAATTTTCTTGGCTGACTTGCAGCCTTTGACTCTAATAGATTCATTTGAGTCTAAAACATAATATAACACAT